TGGGGACATCCCCGGGGGTTTGGGGACATCTCTTTGGGCTGGGGTCACCTGTCTGGTCCTTTGTTGTCCCACTCCTGTCCCCAGCTTTCCAAAGCTCCTGTCCCCAGGGTGTCCCCAGGGTGTCCCCAGGGTGTCCCCAGGGTGTCCCCAGGATGTCCCCAGAGTGACACAGTGTCCCCAGGGTGTCCCCAGGGTGTCCCAGTGTCCCCAGGATGTCCCCAGGGTGTCCCCAGGGTGTCCCCAGGGTGTCCCAATGTCCCCAGGATGTCCCCAGGGTGTCCCCAGGGTGTCCCCAGGGTGTCCCAGTGTCCCCAGGGTGTCCCCAGGATGTCCCCAGAGTGACACAGTGTCCCCAGGGTGTCCCCAGGGTGTCCCCAGGGTGTCCCCAGTGTCCCCAGGATGTCCCCAGAGTGACACAGTGTCCCCCAGGGCCACACCAAGGGCCCGTTCCTCGTCAGCGCGCCGCTCTCCACCATCATCAACTGGGAGCGCGAGTTCCAGATGTGGGCGCCGGCGTTTTACGTTGTCACCTACACCGGGGACAAGGACAGCCGCGCCATCATCCGCGAGAACGAGTTCTCCTTCGATGACAACGCCATGAAGGGCGGCAAGAAGGCCTTCAAGATGAAGGTGACACCTCGGGGACACCTTGGGGACAATGGGAGGTGGCACCTGGACAGGTGGGGGACAATGGAGGTGGCCCCTGGGACCCCTTGGGGACAATGGGAGGTGGCACCTGGACAGGTGGGGGACAATGGAGGTGGCCCCTGGGACCCCTTGGGGACAATGGGAGGTGGCACCTGGACAGGTGGGGGACAATGGAGGTGGCCCCTGGGACCCCTTGGGGACAATGGGAGGTGGCACCTGGACAGGTGGGGGACAATGGAGGTGGCCCCTGGGACCCCTTGGGGACAATGGGAGGTGGCACCTGGACAGGTGGGGGACAATGGAGGTGGCCCCTGGGACCCCTTGGGGACAATGGGAGGTGGCACCTGGACAGGTGGGGGACAATGGAGGTGGCCCCTGGGACCCCTTGGGGACAATGGGAGGTGGCACCTGGACAGGTGGGGGACAATGGAGGTGGCACCTGGGACACCTTGGGGAACAAGGGGGGTGGCACCTGGGTCACCTGGGGATGAGAGGTGGCACCTGGGACACCTTGGGGACAATGGGGGGTGGCACCTGGACAGGTGGGGGATGAGAGGTGGCACCTGGACAGGTGAGGGACAATCGGAGGTGACACCTTGGGGACAATGGGAGGTGGCACCTGGACAAGTGGGGGACAATGGGAGGTGGCACCTGGGACACCTTGGGGACAATGGGAGGTGGCACCTGGACAGGTGGGGGACAATGGGAGGTGGCACCTGGGACACCTTGGGGACAATGGGAGGTGGCACTTGGACACCTTGGGGACAATGGGAGGTGGCACCTGGACATTTGGGGGACAATGGGAGGTGGCACCTGGACAGGTGGGAGATGAGAGGTGGCACCTGGGACACCTTGGGGACAGTGGGGGTGGCACTTGGACAGGTGGGGGACAATGGAGGTGGCACCTGGGACACCTTGGGGGACAATGGGGGTGGCACCTGGGACACGTGGGGATGAGAGGTGGCACCTGGGACACGTGGGGATGAGAGGTGGCACCTGGACTTTTGGGTCAGCTCAGGATTTTTCCACATTTTGGGGTTCTGGGAAGGTTCTGGATGGAATTTTTTCCACATTTTGTGGTTCTGGGTGGGATTTTTTCCACCTCCCGTGGTCCTGCCGTGTTTTGGGGCGCCGGGCGTGCTCGGGGAGGTCCCCTCTGAGCCCCCCCCGGTGCCCCCCACAGCGCGAGGCTCAGGTGAAGTTCCACGTGCTCCTCACGTCCTACGAGCTCATCACCATCGACCAGGCCGCGCTGGGCTCCATCCGCTGGGCCTGCCTGGTGGTGGACGAGGCCCACCGCCTCAAAAACAACCAGTCCAAGGTGAGGAGACCCCAAAAAACCCTCCTGAGGAACCCAGAAAACCTCCTGAGGAACCCAGAAATCC